AATAGTGTAGGATATGCAAAACAAAACACTTCATCGCTAGAATATTTTCTGTTTGTCAGAATATTTTTTTCTTTGAAATTGAAATTACTTTCTCTTTAGAAAGACATATTTTCAAGAATACATGAAATTCGAAGTGACCTGTTTGGGGAAACCTTTTCAGAAGCAAATGTCTTCAATCTATACTTAATTGCAGCACTATACCTTAGATATTATGCATAGCAGATATGTTTATAATTCCCATTTTATTTTCACATTTTGTTGATAGATGATGATACATTCCTGTTTGTGAATTGTCATATTTAATTACTATTTTTCATTTTAGGTTTCCAGTATTTTGTGCAAGAAAATACTTTAAAGCCTGAGTAGACCAATAGCTAGATTTGAAGTTTGGTCTCAATATTAGCTACTACATAAATGTTTCTGAGGTGGTCAAAATTAGGAAATGAAAGCAATAATTCTTCCCAATGACTGTTGTTTCTCAAATATATATTAGATTGGCAGTGAGCAATATACCCTGTTTTCCTGATAATAAGACCTCCCCAGATAATAAGCCCAATCGGGCTTTTGAGTGCATGTGCTAAAATAAGCCCTCCCCTGAAAATAGGGCTCCCGAAAATACTGCAACACAGCAGCAGCCATGATGTGACCACATGTACGTGCATGCCTCCTGCAGCTGAAATATAATAAGACCTCCCCAAAAATAAGGCCAAGTGCTTATTTCAGGGGTCAAAAGAAAATAAGACCCTGTCTTATTTTTGGGAAAACATGGTATGAATTTACAAATTGTCAATATTCTTGGCAGAGACAATTTTATAGTAGTTTGTTTAAGGAACATGGCATGCTCTTATCTTAAATTTTGAATTATCTCAAAATGAGTGTTTTTGAATGTTATCTTTGTTTAATGTTTGTTTTAACTTTTTGCAGAGTAGAATTATTTTCCAGTAGGCTATTATCTGCCTTTTTAAAGGGATTATATTAAAAAGTGGCATTTTATTTGTTAAATGTCCAAATTCTTATTATATCTTGTTTTTTCCCACTTACCCTTTCTTTTTGATGAATATACTCATGGTTACTATAGTTAGACCTATTGGTGATAGACGGTAGTTGATAGAATAAGTTGCAAAATCGTGATTTTTAAATTTTTGTATAGGCCAATAAAATTATGACTACAGAATTTAAAATACAAATCCTTCCAAGCCTGAAACAATAATGAGAGTATCAACGACTTTCTGCAAGTCATACCTATTAGTAGAAACTTGACAACAATCCATTTTATGATTATCAGACTTTAGGGTGGTACAATGGGTATGACGTGTAATCTGATTCTTCCTCAGAACAATTGAATGCTATATTTTTCTTGTAACGGGGGTGGGTGGGTGGGTGGGTATAAGGAATCCTAGTTTCTGAATCAGAAATTAATTGATTCATTTGTCAGCTATAAGTGCCACCAGAGGCTTATATATTATTTAAAGTTGTTTCAAATTATATAATTCAAACTGATTTCCTTAAGATCTGTTTCCAAAAAATGGAAATTTGGAAAAGCGGGGTAGTTTGATTATAGTCATTATATAAACATAGGTATGACTTCAGATTTATTCTATAGTAGTGTTCACATTACTATAGAATCTCCCTTGTATGCTTAGGTGTTCATCGTTTAATAAAATAATGGAAATGAACATTAAACCTGTATATTTTTGAGGGCATTCTTGTTTTGTATTTTCCTTCCAAAATTTCCTCGTATGGTATGATTTCAGTCTCTGCCTTTTAAAATAATAATTATATGCCAATATAAAGTCATTATTTTTTTTCAGGTGGGCACTCTGGTTCTTTAAAAATGATAAAAGTAAAACTTGGCAAGCAAATCTTCGTCTGATCTCAAAGTTTGATACTGTTGAAGATTTTTGGGCGTAAGTAAAATTGTAAATCAGATTTGAAACTTGAGTGTTTTTTTCATCTCATCTGTTTGTTCTTGAGGATTATATATGAGAAAATATAGGGGGCTAAGTTGAATGTGAGGGAATATTCAAAGAC